ACGCTCGTCGTCCGCAGACGCGGGCGCCGGCTCGGGGCTCATCGACGGCGGGGGCACGCGCCGGCTGCGGCTCGACGTCGACTCCTCGCGCTTCATGATCATGAACGGCGGCTCTGCGGTGTGTCAGCGCCATTCTGGAAAGAGAGAGAGAACATGGAGAAAACCCACCAGGCAACCGCTCGTCCTCCTCCTCCATGTTCCCGAACCTCACATGCTTCGACTGGGGCCCCGGCGGAGGCTGGTACGCGTTGTTCGCTGGCGGCAGCTGGTACGCGTTGTTCGCTGGCGGCGGCTGGTACGCGTTGTTCGCCGGCGGTGGCTGGTACGCGTTATTCGCCGGCGGCGGCAGCTGCTGGTACACCGGCGACGGCGAGCGGTACTGCACGGGCGGCTGGTACCCCCCGCCACCGACCCATACACCAGCTCCGGCTGGTGCGGCGCCGCGTCATCCATCGCCATATACGCCAGCGCGACGTCGTCCGACGCCGCCGAGCGCCGGTCGCCCCCGCCCTCCTCCGCGCCAAGCCACGGCCCGCCCACAACGGGCGCCGCCGCGCCCGGCGGCGGCCCCGCGAGCGCGTGCGGCGCGCGCTCGGGCACTTGCGAGTGCGACGTCGTCGGCGCGTTCGCGCCCACGTCCACGCCGTAGTCCCGCCCGTCGTACGTGAACTCCTCGCGGTACTCCGGCGCGGGCTCCTCTTCCTGCTGCTGCTGCTGTTGCTGCGCCTCCGCACGCTTGCTGCTGTAGCTGGCATTGGTGTTGGCATTGGCGCTGCCGCGCCCCACGCCCGCGTCGAGCACCGCGGCCATAAAGTCGCTCCCGCCCGTGTCTGTGCGCGGGCCGGCGAGCGTCGGCGCGCCTTGCTGCTCGTCGGCGGAGCGCGAGAACCCGCGGCTGCGCACGGGGAACGTCGCGAAGCGCCCGCCGCCCGGCCCGTCGCCCCCGTCGGCGAGAGCCCCACGCTCAGGTCGTCGCGCGCCTCCGCCACGTCCGTACCGCCAAACTGCGCTGAAGTGCCGCCAAACTGCGTCGAGGTGCCGCCGAACTGCGATTGCGGTTGTGTGCCGCCGAACTGCGGCCCGCCAAACTGCGATCCCGTACCCCCAAACTGCGACCCCGTCCCGCCAAACTGCGACCCCGCCCCCGACCCGCCAAACTGACTCTGCGACGGCGACGTCCCCCCACCTCCTCCACAAAGTACCCCCCACCCACGTCCTGCGGCGGCGGCAGGAACCCCGACCCGCCGGTATCATTCGTATCCACGCTCAGCCCAGCGTTCGCGCCCGCCGCGCGCGTGCTGATAAACCCGCTCGCCGTGCCAAACCCGCTCGTGTTCAGGCTCAGGTTCAGCGTGCCGTCCGGCACGCCCGGGAGCGCGGAGAACGCGACGTCGTTCGCCGCGCGCTCCGCGTCCGCGACGCGCGCCTCCGTGCGCGCGTGCGCGTGGTACATCGCGCGCGCGAGGCCGGGCTGCGTGGCTTCTTCGGAGATTTCCTAGGGGGCGGGGGGTGAGTATGCAAGGGGAGGTGCGGGAAGGGGAGGGGAAGAGGGAAGAGGGAAGGAAAGGGAGGACAGCGGGAACGGGAGGAGGCCCAAGCGGGAGATCGGTTGGGGCAGAAACAACGTATGCTTGAGCGTGGGGGAGCAACGGTGGGGCCGGCGAGGGGGACGCAGAGGGGCGGAATACAGATAAACGACGCACCTGAATGACCGCGAGGCCCGCCTCCGCGACGACCGCGCCGCGTGCGCACGCCTCGCGCAGCCCGCCGAACTTGAGCCCCATGAGCGCGCGCGCGCTGTGCCGCTTGAAGTCGCCCAGCGCGGCCTCCTCGTTCATGATCTCGCCTGGGGAGGGGGTGCGTCAGCACCCGATGTCGGACGGCGAGGCGGAGAAAGGAGGGAAGAAGGGACACGCACCGTCCATCCCCCGAATCATCTCCCTCAGCCCGCCCAGCACGTCCGTCTGCCCCGCGAGGTTCTTGTGCTCGGGGCCCATCTTGTTCAGCTTGCGCTCCGCCGCGTCGGCCTTGGCGGCGGTCGCCTTGCGCCGCCGCTTGAGCTCGTCGAGCGCCTCTTCGCGCGTGCGGATGGATTTGAGGTGCTAGCGAGGGGAGGGGGTTAGTGGGTTGTGGGGTTTTTGGAAGGATGTGCAGGGATGCGGGGCGTGCACAGCACACAGCAACGAATGTGCCCCGACGTACCAATCCCTCTGCCGCCGCGCAAGGCAAGCGCAAACCGCAACGCGCAGCGCACCGACACGAGGAGAAGGATGCGAAAGCAGCGAGAGGCTATGCTGCGAGAGACCCGGCCGCACACCCGCGTCTGGACAAGGGCCGCAGCGTCAGAGGCCAGACGCATCCGCCTCGGGACCCCGACACAGCACACCCCTCCGCGCATCACCCGTGGCCAAGATAGCGCCGAGCCTAGCCTCGGCGTGATGGCGTCATAATGCACGACGTGATGGACAGACGGACGTGGCATGGACGGCGGGCGTGGCGCCAAGTTTTTAGAGGTGCAGAAGACGGGCAGGGCGCCTCGCGGAGGAGGCGGGGAGAGGCAAAGACGCGGATGAACGAATAGAAAGAGGGAGGCACGGATGGACCGGAAGAATGCATAGAAAGCGGAACAGAGCACTCACATCGCGGATGGCATGCTCGCGCGCAGCGTAGCCCGACAGCGCAGCGGACCAGTGCGCGAGGATCGTCGTCGAGGCGCCGAGGATGTCCTGTGCGGCGATACCATCAGCCTTGCCTTTGCGCATGAGAGAGGGAGACGCACGCCGAGGTCCTCGCCCTCGCCCGCGCCCCAGGTGCGCAGGGCCTCGCCCGCCTTGCCAAAGTCCACGCTCAGCTTCTGCAGTCTGCGAGCAGCGGTGAGAGTAGGGCGGGGTGGTATGTGGGGCACACGCACGATATAAGGACGACCTTCTCGGCCGTGATGAGGTCCTGGAGCGGGCGCAGGTCCTTGTTGCCCGACAGCGCAAGCGCCGGGAGCGTCGAGTTGTGGGCGATCTTGGTCGCCGCGCTCTTGAACATGGTGCGCAGTGGACGACAAGTGAAGTGTACATGCACAGCCCGCCTATTAGTAGGACATGATCGCCGGCAATAGCCGCCCGACTTGCTTTCTCGTTCATCCTGCCTCCGAGTCTAGCCAGCAAGTTTTATTTGTTTTATTTTATTGTAGAGCCCATGTACATGCACGCAGCCCAATTTCTAACCTTCAACTTGAACAAACCTATTTTTGCCGCACTCCATAATTAGCCTCGAGGGTGCTGCGCATGCGGCCGGCTGGTTGCGCACAATAATACACTCCTCGCTTTTAGACTCCTTCAAACCCGGACTCTAAAGAGCTCCGGCACATCGGACGTGCATGGCGCACACCTGCCTCCAATCTGAGCCCAACTTGTGACCCAACTTCAACCCCAACTTGAGGTCATGTTGGGGCACACTTACGACTCCCTTGACTCGATTATACTTTGTCGTCCGCATTCGTGGATACGTGTTGCCATGTTCTATTTTTCTTTACCTCCAACCTCGTAATTCTATTATCAATGAAATAGTACCCAAACCCCGCAAAATCATGCACTGGCAGCAGATCAACAACTTCAGTGTATTTGTGAAGGCGACCCGGGCAGCGCACCAGACCCTGCGTCTGATTGAATATGCAAACACATCGGGTCCAAAATAATCAGCTATGGCCTACTCATTGACTTCTGTCGAACGCGCTGGATGTTGCATGCACACGTGATGTAGTTGGAACTGCAATTTCATGCATGTAAAACAGTGGCCAGTGAGATTCGGTTCACTATATACATGCTGGAGGGCTCAGAGGAGCATAGGAGTGTACTTGAATATTTGTTGGAATAACCACGGGGCCCCCGTTCGTGGTGCAGGATTTACGAGGACGACCCAAGTGAAAGTGAGATAATAATTTACGCGAGGCCTGGGAACCATACGGTACCATTGAGTGGTCTCCCGAGTCCCTTGGCGCTCGCGCTGCCAGTGCATTGAAGCGGTCGGGAACCGAATATGCCGTAGATTTTTTTCTCGAAAAGGGAAGGCAGATTTGATCGGAGTTCTACCCATCGACTCAACACCGACTTTAACTCAACATTCAACGTTCAACCCTGGCAATTTAACTTTTTCCAGCGAAATTACGCGCTGTCAAACGTACTCTCCTCATGGCTGGCTGGCTAGCGATCGCGCCCAAGTATATATACTTACTGAACCGTAAAACCGTTCCCTCTTCCTCATCCCACAGCCGAGTTCATACAAAATGAAATTCTCTTCAATGGCCAGCATCTCCATGTCCTTCGCGTCGCTCTTCACAGTTGCCAGAGCCTTGTACGCTATCACAGCACCTTGGGATCTCCTGGCCTGCAGGTTCGACCCAGGTCATCACTTGGGTGATATTGGCGATGGCACGCCAGGGTCAGCCACAGTCAACCTGTATCTGATGAGCGGGCCGCTTACCGCGCTTCAATTGGGCGAGTCCAAGCTGCAAAAACGAAAGCTCACCGCATATCTGACTCTCTTCTTAAAGTTGGCGCAATTGCTGTGGATGTTGATGGTGCGGCGGGACAATACTCCTGGGATATTTCCTGCAACAATCCCACCTGGGAAATTTTATGCCATACGGATGGGCACGCCACCTGATATCGCTTATTCGCCTTATTTCGAAATGCGAGCGGCAATTCATTAATCTCGTTCACGGCCAATGAACTCGCCGACTATGGAATAGATCCCCAGCTGATACTGAGGCACGACGTGGGGAATGAACGATGGCTGAGGTGGATAGTACTCTGGTCCGGGAAGATCAACGCATGTCTAGTTTTCAAATTTCAAAGCCTAGGAAGGTCGTCAGATCTACTTACGTGCATCCCCTTGTCCAATTTGTCCTCACATCAGTCAGTCAGTGCGACACTATAACATCTATTATGTATGGTACTCCACAGCATCCTTTGACACATTTGGCCCACGCCTCCGCTCGCTCCAGCACATCGGACGTGGTGCACGGCGCACACCTGCCTCCAACGTCACTAGGCCAAAGGCCAAAGCAGGCTGGCGACCCGGGTTCCACTCCCGGCGTCCGAATTCAAGGCTGGGAGCATGACTTATAGTCAGGTTTTTCGTTCAGTCAGGTTCCGTGCAAGACATTATATACACCACCACCGTTCCAAGCTAATCCGCAACCCCCTCCGATTTTTCCTTTTATTTTATTTTCTTCTTCGTTTCCAGTATCACAAGTCCGTTCAAGTTCCCACTTGCATCAGGCTTTAACAAATCCCTTGTGACCTTGTACAAGGCCAAAATGCCAAATGGCCCACAATGGCCGCAAGTTCACAAGGCCACGAGTGGAGTCCCGATATGTTCAAGTTCACTCTGGGATACCAAACGGGCAGAGATCAAACCATCGGACGTAGTGCACGGCGCACACCTGCCCCAAATGCCACGTCCAGTTTGCACGGCACGCAAGCAACTCGAGTTCGACTCCCGGCGTCCGAATGCAGTGAGGGGCTTTTTTCGCGTCCGCTTTTACTGTTTGTTTTGCGGCCCATTCTGCTTACTCGGATAAATTACACACGAGCCTGCTGCGTTGGTATTGGGCTGTGTCGAAAGAAGGGACGAAGCTCTATCCACCAAAACACTTTTCAACCACGCGTACACTGGCAGGGTAGAAGCGATTTGTGGCGCACCGGATCGACTGCACCACGATTCATGATCACTGGCAGGCGCGCCCTCGACCGCCGTCATAATTTATCAGTGAGGCTGACGACTCCGCAGCCACCCCAGCGCCGATCCCATGCCCCCTCCGTTCAAGGTCACGGTATCCGTCGGTCGGGCGGAGGTAGGTAGGGAGGTAGTATTTCCGGCGCAGCCCCGTTAAGAAACAGCGAGTATACACACAACACTTGCCCCCGCAGTCCGGATTTGATTCCGTGTCTCAGGGAGCTCCTGTTTTTATTGTAAGTTACACACATTTTTATCCACCCACTTATAATTACAGAGGGACGTCCCGCAGAAGACATGCAGGACGTGGTTTATGACACACACGCCAGCATTGGATCCGAAACTGGGGTGGCGTGCAGGCGATCTGCCAGTGGGTGCTCCCAGTGTCCGAATGGTTCCACTTGGGTTCGTCGAGGCATTCTTACCTGTACGTAAACGAATATCACATTGTTAAATTGTTAAATGGGCGCTCCTACTTGGGGCCGAGTGACTGATGTGAGTGTCACCCCCTGCCCGGTATCCGGGGTCCAAATGTTTTGGCGGTCTGTGTCGGAAACTTTGCTACCACCTATTATCTGCGACTGGGTACCTGGCCACACTAGGTAGCTGGCCACTTGCATAATAGAAGCTTGCATGTTGTAGAATTTCGTGTTTTGGTGCTTATAGGGTAGAGTACAACCTATGAGGATGCTGGACATCAAATTTGGAGGCAAGTTAAGCGGCTGATCAACGGCTGTGCTCGGCTTTGATCGGGGTGGGGGCGTGTGAAGACCATTTTCTTATCTCCGAACAGCCGCCATGCTCGTTTTTTCCTCACTTCTCCACCAATTCCGCACCGATTCACAAGTTTTGGGGCTCGTCCGCATTCCTTAGTTCGGAAGAATGGCTTCCACCTATCTTATACACGAAAATGCCTCCTCCTCCCCTCCTGGATCCTCCGAAAACTTCACCACCCGATCTCTGGTGGCGCAATCTGGCCACCGCCATGACGAACCCCTTGCGTATGCAATGGACATGTAACTTGATACACACCTTCAAAATCAGTTAAACCGTATTGTCCGACCTTCACTAGACTTTTAACCTGGTTACTTCCCAGTCACGACGGGCACTACTCAAATTCACCCAATTTCGTGGGTGCGGAAAGATGGATTTTGTTAGAGGGGTTCTCGGTATGTGGAGCACATAATATGTGATGAGATATGTCTTAATACATCATACATATCTGTCTAGGCTTTGGTTTGGGCCATAACTGTACTCTGAGCCGTGTAGGGTGCACCATTTAGTCTACACACCAATTTCACCCATCCTCCTTGACCGGAAAGGAAATTCCTTAGGGTCCTCATATGCCTCAGGTGTTCATTTTAGTGTATCTAATGATTCAACTGAATCCATTGGATAATTTGGGATGCACTGGGGTGACCAGAACGAGTGCGAACGAACAATATAGCGGGGTGGCCAGCTACCCCGTTTATGCCCTTTTGGGATGTCGTGGGAAAAGAAATTCGGTAGGGCCATGAAATGTTCATCTAAATTCGTACAAAATAACTGGGCTCCCTTCTAGGATGCATACCTTCATTTCAGGACCCATAAACCCATATCTACCCTACTCTGTATGCTGGCCCGAGGCCAGAAATGCTAAGGTGGCCAGGTACCCGGTCTCTGATAATACCTCTTGGCTCCGGCACTCTACGGCGTACGCTGTCCGAGATCACTTACTCAGACTGGATAGTCATTTTGCGCAAGAGACCCGAGCCCAGAGCTTTATAATTATCTGAAACTTGAAACTTCTTGAATCAATACTAGTAACTACACAGCAATTCCCGACAATACTAGTCTCGGGACTCTCAGTGCGTAGGACAAACTCGAATGGCTTGGCCTGGTAAGGCCACCTGAACTGGGCATCTCTAGGCAGCAAGTCCCCTTTCGCCGTCCTGAGTCCCAAGTTGGCTGCTTGTGAGCTACTCGTTAGCACGGTCCCAAAGGGCTCGTTTGTATCCTTTCGGGCTGATGTCCATGTTGCATCGCATTGCTTCGATTATCGTGCTGTTGAAGTTGTTCACCAGACCATCAAGGCATCTCAAGCACAGTTCACCGGTCTCCGGGTTAAAAGAACTCTCTGCGCGAAAATTATCCTTGTGGAGGTCAAATCTGCAACTCTTGGGCTCTGGCGGTCCTTTCCAATATTTAAAACATGTCTTGGAATGATCATGGCTTTAGCACTTAAGAATAAGGTTATGAAGGTCTTGCATTCTCTCGGGGGAGATTCCATCGGCGCTAAAGCTGTCCAATGGCGCCGCGCCATCATCGTTCTTGTCAACCCTCGGGATATCAGCAATAGGGACCCCTCTGACCGCGCAAGGATGATGGTTATTAGAAGGTACTTCGACTTTTGGTTCGGTCTCTGGCGGGATTGCGTTCGAAATTGTATCATCGAGAAAGGTTAGGAGTCGCTTGCAAAATTCAAGATCTGCACCTTCAGCGCTGAGTGCCCGTTTTTTTATCTCGTTGGGATTCAAACCCCCTTCAACCCAAATCAGCATATGACAGTGCAATGTACCGCGGCCTTGGGCTTCAACGCAACCGTAGTACGCCTTAACAACCCCCAGGATACCGCCCTCGAGATTTTTCTGGTCCAGATCGTAACCCAAGAGAGCAGAAATGAAAGCCTTCATGTAGACATTGAAGAATCTGGCAGCAACCATTGGATTTTTTGCTATGAGTACGGATTGATCCCAATAGTCCGGAACATCAGCAGGGAGAAGGTCATCTACGTCAATTTCTGACCCGGCCAGGAATTTAACAACAGGGTTGTAGACATCTGCCGGGTTAATTGTAACATAGAAACTTGGAAGCCCCTTCTCAATCATGAGGCCGCGAATTTCATTGTGCATTGCAACCCTGGCGGCAGAGGATCCCGGAACATTGGAAGCAACAGCGTTCAGCAGATTCAGGACTTTGCGCTCCTCGTCGTTCTCAGGTGCTGGATGATTGCCATTGGCAACACGATCCGAAACCCTTTTAACAACATCGGGAGAGACCGAGGCAAATTGAGCAGCGACTGAGGCAAAGTTGGCTCTTTTGACCTTCAAAGAGGTGTGTAGAAGCATCTCATGGCGTTGGAGAATATTGAACACTGTGAATAGAAACGATGGGTGCTCCTGGAACCTCGAGTCGGCCAAGTTAAACAGGTGCTTCACGTGTCGCTTCAGCGACAAGGGAACAGGATGTCTGGAATCTTTGGGACCACCAATGCCATAGGGGAACAGAGTGGGGTAGATCATGGGAAACAGTAAGCTGCCCTTCCTGAATTCGTTCTCTGGTTCCTTGTCATGCGGAATCTGAATATAACCTCCTCCTCGTTTTTTGACATGGTGAAGAGCGGCGGCACGAAGTTCGTTGGAAGAAGCATGGCAGTTCACGTCGGCAATGACGACATTCTGAAATGGGATAGGCTGCGGTTCGGACTGTGCGGAAATTGGGGGAGTTTCTGGTCCCGGTGTAGCATCATAGCGGGCTGTCGCAGCTTCATTCGCAGAGCTTGGTTGAATATGCTCAACTGTAAAAGGGAGAACGGGGTTGGATTCGAGATGTTGGAGGCATTCCTCATTCAAAGAGACATCTCGATATAACGGGTTATGTATTTTGAGCCACTGGAGAGCCTGGCGCACACGGTGTGCGTTGACAACCAGTGGTTTCGCATGGTCGCGCAGCCATTCAGGAGACGGAGGTGACGAGCCTACGAAGAGGACACAGACCGGCGAAGTGATTTCTTCAAAGGGAAGTGGAAGGATAGTTGCGAGTTTAGACGGTTGTTGGGGGTATATAATTATATGGCCCTTCACTCCACGCTGCGTAGATGCTAGCACAAGGTCCTGGTTTTCTTCCTTGAGTTGAATAATCCAGCATTTCGAGCGGCACCGTGCAATCATGGCCTCTTCAATTACCGTGAGATTCTTGAGTTCCTCGGGAACGGAACCCAGGAAAGTCCTATTGGCGAGGGAGAGCAGAGGGATTTTTTTACATCTTAGGGACGAATGACATGTGGAACAAAGTGATAGGACAGGTGGGTCTCCATTTGAGGGGAAAGAAACGCCGTCAGGATCGACAAGAATATCACGAAGAACACCTTCATCGAAAGGCATTGCGGGAGGACTACATTCGGGGTGAAGCCATTTGTAACGGTCGAGGACAAGGTCCTCGTTCGCTGTCAAATCGGGTCGCTTGAGGAGCTCTATATCAAAATCGGACAAGGACAGGGAGCAGTGAGAGCGTAAAAGGACGGCCTCGGCACACGAAGCACAGGTAAAGGGCTTCAGAAGATGTCTGCGCACGGAAAAGGTTGATTATTTTATCTTTTAGTCTTC